AGAGAACAAAGCAGAGTCCCACCACCAGGAAGGAAACGTCTTTAGTGGCTCAGGGGCGGAGCGTCGACCTAGGAACAGGGGGTCACAGTTCCATTCGTGGTCGGGGCACAGGCCCGGGTTGTGGGCTCGATCCCCAGTCGGGGGCGTGCAGGAGGGCAGCTGATCCATGATTCTCTCCATCATTATTGATGTTTCTATCGCTCTCTCCCTCTCCCTTTCTCTCTTAAATTAATGAAAAAATTATATATGTATTTTAAAAAAGGTTCATCCACAGACAGGAAGACAAAGAGAGTGCACACCACGGGGGCTCGGGCAAGAGGCGGGGTGGTGCTGACAGAAGGGGCTCGGGCAGCCCCCCCAGGGCCTAGCGCTGTCACCCCCACTCCCTGACGGGGCCTCCCCTGGGTGCAGGCATGTCCATGTCCTGTCCCCACCCCTGTGCCTGTCTCGGAGGCTGAGGACCGGCTCCCCTGCGACATCTCTGGGGAGAAAGGCTGCTGTGGGCAGGGCTACCCCCAGCGGCGCCTCAGAACCCCCTGAACTCGGGTCCTGGCCCCACTCCTGCAGACCATGCTGACACCCCCTCCATTTCATTCGTTCTAAACAGAGAGAGAGAGAGAGAGAGAGAGAGAGAGAGAGAGAGAGAGAGAGAGAGGAGAGGGTGCCCCAGGGAAACCTGGGTCCTGGAGGTGGGCGGGGCCAAAAGGAGGCGGAGCTGGAGGAAAGGCCACGCCCCTGTGAAGGCAGAGCCCACAGCTGGGCCGGGAGCTGGTGCCCCATGGGATGCTGGGCCCCACCAGGGCTCCTGGACCAGGCCTGCACCAGCACAGCCGGCTGGTTCACGGTGCAGGTGGGGCCCTGCAAAGAGGCCACGGCTCAGGCTGTGAGGAGGGACCTTGGTCTCCTTTGAGGTGCTCCAGCGACAGGGCACCTCCGGGGCAGGGGTTGGAAGCTGGGCACCAGCTGTGAGACTCGGGGCTGTCAGTGCAGCTTAACCACCCATTTGGAGGTCGACCCCCAAGGTGGGAAAAAATGTTTTTATTGATTTCAGAGAGGAAGGGAAAGGGAGAGAGAGAGAGAAACGTCCATGATGAGAGAGAATCATTGACCGGCTGCCTCTTGCTCGCCCCACACTGGGGATCCAGTCCACAACCCTGGCATGTGCCCTTGATGGGAATTGAACCTGGGACCCTTCAGTCCGCAGGCGGCCGCTCTACCCACTGAGCCGCACCCGCCGGGGCCGAATTATCTTTCTTCCTTGAACGTCTCACGGAGGATTCGGAGACAAGGATGGCGGTGTGCAGCTTCAGGGTCACTCTCTAAGCGGGAGGACTGCTTCACGCTGTCCACTCACGGGGCAGAAGGGAGACACCAGGGGGTCGTGCGACCGGCCCTCCTGCGGCCCTGGGCTCTCTGTGCCACCTCTAGCCGCCCCACGCTCTGGGCTCCTGCCCCCGGGCCTGGCTCAAGGAGATATTCATCAGGCTCCTTCCTGCTAAAACATTGCATAATGCCTGCTGTATTGTCAGTAAACTTCATTTCATAACTCCTAACAGGCAAGTTCTCTAACTGTGACCGACTCAGACACACAACGCTTGCAGGCAGGAGACAGGCAAGCACACCTGGCATATAATTTGGTTAAAAAAAAAACCACACGCAACAACCACCACCACCACCACCAGCCTTTCCCAACGCTGCCTCCGACGAGGACTTCTGCCCTGTTTCCTTGAGGGGAAGGTCACTTATGGCAGCAAGTCGCAATTTTGAAAAGTATAATCACCTCAATAAGCTATGTCACCTCAGACAACAGCTACATAAACACAACACGTAATCCCCAAAGCAAGAGGGGATGTTTAGTAAATGAATGGAGTGACTTTCTCAGCACATGTTTATTATCAAAGTTAATTTTTTTTTACATGCAAGGTCATTCTCCATGACCACACACTGGGGGGGAGCGCGTCGCCTCCTCTCACCTCAGGCCCACCCCTGGGTGCTGCGCCTCCATCCAGGTGGTTGGCAATGATCGGATGTTGCCTGGCTTTGAACTTGGAAACAAAAGATTGCCCTCTATGGTCATTCACAGCTTGTCTTTGATCTCAAGTCTTCCCGATGCTTTTAGACAACAGAAAACTCAATGCAACAGGAAACCCAGATTTCACATGGCTGGCTTTGAAACAGAAACTCAAAATGAGCCTCAAGCCACAGAACCCCGTGTCCTTCCCGGGGAGGCCGCCGGGCATCAGGACTGTGGTCCCTGAGAGCATGTAAGTCACCGAAGCACTCACTTTCAACACAGGACGTGCTTAACGTTTCACTGAGGGATGAGTTTCTGCTGTAAATGAAGGAGAGTATACTTTGTCTCACTCTTAGATAAGGAGGCCACGGACTTCCTGGTGTTACCATTTCTGGTGTATGATAACAGCAACCACTCATATCTATCCACCCACCACCCATCCCTGCATCCACCCACCCATCCATAGATGGACGCACTGACTGACCAATGGGCCAACACATGTCCATCCACCCGTTTACCAATCCATCTATCATCTATCTGTCCATCTATCTATTCATCCATTCCTCCATCCTTCCTTCCAAACATCCATCCACCCATCCTTCTATCCTTCCATCCACCCACCTATCCATCTATCATCCATCCATCCACCCAATATCAACCTATCCACACACCTACCCCTCCCTCCCTCCCTTCACCCACCTGTCCATCTACCCTTCAATCCATCCGTCTGTCCCTCCATCCATGTGTGCCATTGGCCAGCACAGACACTAAACACCCTTTGTTTTCAACATGCATTCCTCTACCACCTCAGGGCTCCTGGAGTGTTCCCTCAAAATAAGCTCTCTCCCACCACGGACCATCCCCGCAGAAGGGCCATGCCGTCTGCCTTACGGCCCAGTCGTCGGCATGTCAAAGGGAACTTCTCATCTCTAACCCTGGTCCGTCTCCAGCCCCTGCTCCCCACTCAGCACGCAGAGCGGGGAGCAGACGAGCCCGAAGGGGCTTGAAACCCGGGGCTGGGCTCGGAAAGCCCACGCCGGCAGCCCAGAGCCCTTCGAGAAAAAACGGAGCTGAAACGCAGTGACCTCGCTTGTCAGCAGAACCGTGCTCACCCCCACCCGCTAACTCAGTGCCTTTACACGGACATTTGTTTTAGAAACAAACTCAGCAGTCAAGTTACGTAGCTTCCCCTACACTGCCCAGAGCAAGTCCATGAGAACGCAAATTCACTGAAATAAAACCCCACGTGTTCTCACTTGACTCGTTACACAACCTCCGTCATTATGGAATAATCTAGCACGAGAGAGAGCGAGAGCGAGCGAGAGAGAGCGAGGGAGAGAGAGACTCCCAGGCCCTGCCCTCGCCCCTGCCGCCAGTGCCCAGCAGTAAACAGCCCGCTGCGTTCATTGGCCATCGCGCTGAAGGTCACACATCAGCATGAGCCTAAATTCCAGGAAAAAGACGCGCTTATGTAACTGCCGCCTGGATGCTGGCAGGTGCCCAGCCAGTCCCGCGCAGCCTGGGAAAGTAGGACAGCGCCGCGGGCCTCGGCGGCACGAGCGCGCCCCCTGCCGGCGCCCCTGAGGAACGCTGTGCCTCTCCTGGCCTGAGCGTTACAGGTTCTCGGTCCCAGGACGGTGATGCAGCGGGACCTCCCCTCAGATGCACGCCAGGGCAGCCGGTCCAGGGCCGCCGCACAAGCCGGGACACGTCCTTCTCCAAGACACACGCGTGGGCCGCGGCGGCTTCTGCTCTGGGTTGGGACGCCTCCCCGGAGGCCGCCCGGCAGTCAGAGCAGCGCTGCACAGTTTAGAGAGTGGCCCGCGCGACCTCCTGAGCTCCCTGCTCCAAGGTTCCCCACGACATGCTCTGCGTACCCCCCTTCTCCCTCCCACGCTGCTCCTCAGGGCGGGGGGCTCCCATCCAACACTGTCTGCACCACTGGCCGCCCTCCAGGAAACCAGGAGCCCAGAGCCGACACTGGTGTTAGGGCGCCACTCCCTCCAGGCCCCGCGCCGCGTCCGGAGTGGAACAGACTCCGAGTATGGGGTCTCCAGGACGTCTTCAGCACCACCGCCGTCCGGCACAGCCACGATGGGAAGGCGGGCCTCTCTGGGCTGATGGAAACGCTCCATCTTGATTTGTGTGGATACGTTGGCACGATGCAGCAAGCTGTCCACCCGTGAGCAGGACATCAATGCCCGAGGTTTCCGCCCCCGCCCTCCCCTGCACCCTCCGCCCTCCCCTACACCCTCCGCCCTCCCCTGCACCCTCCCAAGCTTCCCCGAGGAGATGGCAAACCCAGGAAGTGAGGGATGGAGACCTCTCTCTTTTTTTTGTCCGAAACCAGAAAGGAAGGGGACCTCCTGTTCTTGGGTTTCCAGGGAAGATTTATTCCTGGAAAAAGCTGGCCTGCTCCCACACCCAGGCCCCTTCC